TCAATAAAAACATATTTTTTTTTACAAAAGATAACCAAATATAAAAGGTAAGAAGTCACCCTGACGTAGAATCACCAGAAAAGCAACTCTCAGCTTTTGAATCACCAAGGACTCCAGACATTGAAATTATCAGATAAGGATGTAAAATAATATTATGAAATTAAAGAGCTAAAAGTCAAAATTCAAAAAAATGAACAATGAAAGACTATTCACAATTGCCAAGCAGTTTTGAAATTATTTTTAAAAAACGATGATAAAATTAAAAACTCAGTGTATAGGTTATAATGAGAGTGGGCACACCCCCATTAGAAACACCCCTTTTAAAGTTAAGAATATATATAAGGGTGTTTTCTAAAATATAACCTAAACAAAGAATAGGAAACAAATTTGTGCATAACTTTTTTTCTGAAAAACAGTTAAAAGAATGAATAGTGGGTAAATACAGGATGTGCTTTTTCAATATTTTAAAGATGTCAAAATATCAAATTCAATGAAATTCCAATTCAAATACTAATATGGTTTTTATGGAACATAAATAATGATCCTAAATTTATTTGGAAGAATAAAATGCCAGACAATAGTTAAAATTAAAAAAAGAAAAACATAAAAAGTAGGAGTTGCACAACCAGGTATCAAAATGTACAGTAAAGCTATGCTAGTTAAATAGTGGTAAGTTAGTGTAGGAAAAGACATGTAAACTGATGGAACAAATAAAGCATCTAGAAACAAATTCATGCATATACAGTACTACAAATGATGAAATTAATAGCATTCCAAACCAATGAGAGAGAAATTATTTAAAAAATAATCTTGGATATCCATTTGTAGAAAACAAAAACGTCACACAAAAATAAACAACAAAGTTAAGTGCAATAAAATTCTACAGCATAAGAAGTATTAGTAGAAAATAAAACAGAGAATTTTTATAAGTATAGGTGTGAAAGGCATTCCTAAGCTAGATACACAATCCCTAGCCATAAAGAAAATAATTTCTTAAGACTTAATTTTATAAAAATTAAAAATATTTTAATGAGAAAAATGATATAAACAAGGGTAAAAGATATAAGCATGAAAGACATATTTGCATCTTATAAATAAAGAATAACCAAAATATTTTTCAGACAATAAATCAGTGAGAAAAAGACAAAGTCTAGCTAATAAGATAAAAGACATGATCAGATAATGCACACACAAAAAACACAAGAAATGCAAATGGCCAATAAATATTTGAAAAAAAATTTACCCTAATGTTTTATCATCAGATTCACAAAAAGAGGAACAAATCAATGGTATCGACTATTGATAAGAGCTTAGGGAAACTGGGATCTTTATACATCCCGAATGAGGATTCCAATTAGTGCAACATTTCTTAGTTGAAATCACCGATATTTATAAAAATTCTTTAAGAAGTGCATTTCTGTTGACCCAATAGCGTAACTTCTAGAAACTTATCACAAAGAAATTTACTTATGAGGTATTAATGGTGTGTGTGTGTGTGTGTGTGTGTGTGTGTCTGTGTGTGTGATAGTTGGTTTATAAAGGTAAAAAAAATAAAAACAATGTCTTTTTTATACATAGTTGATTAAACAATTAAGTTATGGCCATCCATACTATAAATTACTATGTAGCAGGTAAAAATTTGATCTATGTATACTCACATGGGGAGATCTCTAGGAGAGATTATTTAGAAAAAAGCAAGTTGCAGGAAAATATGATTCCTGTGATACTATTTACCAGAAAACTAAAAAAAAAAAAATTGTATTTGTACACACACATAGAATGATATATATAATAATATATGATAAATATATCATACACAATAATACAATATATTAAGTCATAATGACACAATATGAGAATATACACATCTACTGTTAATAGCTATTTAGGGAGAGAGGAATTTATTTGAAAGGGAAGTTAGCAGGAAGAATATACTCTTTTTTATTACATGGTTCTTCATATGTAATTTTTATGGGAGGGTATTCATTCATGTACTTACATAATTAAGACAAAATGAAAATGATTATTCCTGGGTAAATAGAAGGAAGTTGAGGATGGGGGCGGGGGGTGGAGTGCGGGGGGTGATACAGAAGGAAAAGGAAGACAAACAGGTAAGATGGAGGTACCAGCACAAAAGTCTAACTTTGTATTTTCCTTCCCAACCTTAGGACTAAAATACAGAAACCAGGCCCTGGGCAAAATCAGAACCTCAAACAAAGGATTAAGTTACAGCGTGATCTGCTTCTGGTGGGTAAGTGAGGATTAGTATCCCAGGAGAGAAGGGTTAAGAACAGCAGAAAAGCCTAATCAGGTCCACTGGTTGGAATATCAACCCCTGGGCCGAAAATCCTCTCACTCCCCATGGTGATTCCTTCATCAAATGACCAAGTTGCTGGCTTCCAGCAGGGCCTTGCCCTCCGTGACTGCCATTTTATGAGGCAGTTTGGAATGCAAAAAAAAAAAAAAAAAAAAAAAAAAATGCCCTTGGACAATTATTTAGTATGCTACCAAGTTCTATAGGGATAAACTTACTGCTTATTCAGCACTGGAAAGTGGTAATAGAGCAGTCTTCCAAAAGAGAACTAGTCTCAGATCATTTTGGGAGGAAATTATTTCGACCTACCTTACTTTGCTCTGAAAATCCTCTAATTTAGCAATTCATTGACCAAAACATGGTTCACTCAAAGGCTCTTTTTAAAAAAGGATGCTCCCTTTCATTTTCCCTGTTTCCTAACTTATCCCCAGTCTATAAAATACCCAAAATAATTTTATGGCGATAAAGCAGAGGCTTACCCTGAGAGCAGAAAGCCCTGTTGTTTGTTGTGAAGACATAAAGACTGTGATTATCATGCATTTATCAAAGGAAAATGGATTCAGACTAATGTGAAAGACAGCATGACAAGCTTAATTATAATGTAATGCTTTTAGAAGTCCAAGCAAAAATAGAAAGATAAAATGCTTTGAAAGAGGCCAGGTAGTCTTAACATTGATAGTAGCTGTACACAATCAATTCTGACTCTTAGGACATTTTTTTTTTTACCTTGCCTTTAAATTTATCAAACCTTTTAGAGAACTCTGCAATGATAAAATATCTGGTATTTAATTTATATTTATGGTGGATAGATATTTTTAATTTAACTAATAAATAAATTTATTATTTACTCAAGAATTATTGAGGACCTCTATATGCATGGCACAATCCAAAAGAAGACTTAGCCCCTAACTTCACAAATTCTATCAGTTAATTGACAATTACACTATTTTATATATTATGTATTTACATGTGTTTAATGTGTACGAATGTGTGCAAGTTCCTGGGAAACACGAAAATCAACTCCACAAGTAATCTTTTCCTTGAGAATACAATATGTACATATACAACCTTCAGTATACAAGACAATTTGTCTTAAATTCAATAATGAACGTTAGAGCAAAGTGCTAAATGATCTCAAAAAAATAAAAAATAAATATGAGTAGGGCATCAAAACAAGGTTTCACTCTGAGTTTCTTTGGTACTTGCGATTTACAGTAATGTGTCTTCCCTTCAGGCTGTCAACAACTGATCATGGACCCAACACTACAAGGTGCCAAGCACTGTGATAGAATACAAGGGAAAAAGATCCTGACCCTGCTTAAGGGAGCAAATAACTCTTTCAGTTCCACATGACACAGACTCCAATGAGGGACACACAGGTGCAATGGGAGTGTAGGGAAACACCTAGGGGTGCATGAAGGACTCCACAAAGTCTGAAACTTCCAGGACAGCTAGGAATGTGCCTATTGGTCGTAGAGGAGAGGGGACTGAAGGCAGAAGGAAGAGCATCCTGCAAAGCCATGAGGCAGCACAGTGAAAGCAGCCAGGAGGTTGATCTGGCTGGAGCCTTAGATGAATGGAAAAGGAAAGCAGGAAGTAGATTGGGGGAGGGCTTTATATAAGAGAGTGAGCATTTTAGAATTGATGGTTAGAGCAAGGGAAAAGATGAGGGTTGTAGAAATGTTCTTAATGGAGGGGCGATTGAAGTCAGACCCATCTTAAAGTGGGGAGATATGTCAGTAAAGCTTTGTAGTCTTTAGAGCAAGGGAATATGAGATTTGGAATTTGAATGGTGGCAGGAATTAGCAGTTGATTGGCGAAGCTTTAAGGAAAGGGAGAGGATTTCTGTGATAGGAACACAGTAAAATATGCTCATTTGGCAGGACTTATGGGTCGGGTGAGGTTAGGAGCTGAAGATGAATTTCTGGTTTTTACATTAGAATAAAAAGGTTAGATTCATTGGAAGAGTGTCAGAAGCTGCCCCCCAAAGCCTATTGCTTCACAACCAGGTGTCTTGAAATCTCTACATGTTCACTAGATCTAGAAGTCATGCATTGTGTAAAGTAGAAATTTTACAGAGGAACAAATGATGGATTCTTAGAGATTAAGACGTTTTCCTGAGGGGAGATAAGTAGTAAATAATGTGGTCAGAATTCAACAGGGACTATCGGGCTCCAGTGCCGTGTGTTTCCATCATATTTAAAATATCCCATCAATATCAAATAGAAATGAACTGATATACTTAATTTAAATATTCTTAATGTACTTGACATTCTTCAGATTAACTTTAATTTCTTACTTATTGAGTCTTCAATACTGAAGCAACAACAGCTAATCAGCTGTGTCTCACCAAAGTAACATTTCCTCGTCCCCATTTCTGTTTTTCTTCCATTGAATTAGTGAGAACTCTTGAAACTCTCAAGATATGACCTAATGAGAGCTCAATAATATGAATTAAATTCATGAGTATATAATTTTTAAGAATTTTTATGAAATACTTTGTCCCCCTACCTAGGTCTATTGTTACGTGAACATCAGTATATTTTGCAAATGTAAATTTTCAAAGACATAGTAGTTAGCCAGTATATTTTAAAATCTAAACCATCTCTTAAAGTAATTGAGTATCAATGATAGATTTGAGTAGAACTGGGGAAGCAGAATCCCATAAATGCACAATGTTACTTACTTTATCTTTGGAGAAGCTGAAAAGTTGTTTTCTTGCAGCAAAGAATTGGACAGCTATTACACTGGCTGAGTGACCCCAGAGAACACCAACTGGCTTAGAGGCCACATAGGGGTTCCAAAGGCAGACTTTGTTGTTAATGCCAGCAGTTGCTAATCAGAATCAGAAAGAAAAAAAAAGTTTTTAATAACATTAATAGCCCACATTTTATTTTGAAATGAGTGTACCTTATATCGGTAGACAAGTGCCAGTCTCAAAAAGATGGAAAATCTTGTCATTGCCCAACAGCCCAGACTCATGGGGCATGAGCTCTATCATACAAATAGCTGAAACCAAGGGAGCAGGGGGGAGGGGTGCTCATGAGGTGAAATGCCAACACAGAACCATTTAGGAAGCAGCCAGTGGCCCAACCACGTGGGGACAAAATCCTGCTTTCTAGTCCTTATATTTCCACCCTCCAGCCAACACAGCTTAGGAACATAGTCATATTAGTTATCCCAGGAGTAAGAAAGAACTAAACAATATTCAATGTTTCCAAATGAATTAAAAAACTGTAAAAAAATAAATTATTTTCACTGCCATCTAAATGATTATTTACAAGCAAATAAGAAGCACAACTAGATTTTTTACTTCCTTAATTGAGAGAATAAGGTCTTTTTTTTTTTTTAACATAAATTGGCTGTACACAAGGAGGGTGTCAGGAGCAGGGACCACAGTGCTTCTTTGGGTCTATGGAGAAACCAGAAGATCATTCTTTGTTGTGCCCTCAGAGAGGGTCAGCTGGAGCTGGCTTATTCACCCTCATTTTGTCAGCACTGGCCAGGTACAAAATAGTGACCAGTGGAAAGGGGTTTACCTAAGCAATCAATAATCAGTCAATGAAATGGCTGATATTTGAGTCCTTCCAAAGTCAATTCAACAACCCCTCCAGCATTCTCTAATAAATCAACAATACTCCTTGAGTGTTTAATGTTGGCAGGTTCCTGAATTCATATTCTGAGTATTTTTACTATATTTGTCAGCTATTATTGTTGGAAATGTAGGCATTCAGTACCTAAATTGATACTCAGTACTTATCAATAGAAGTCTATCAGTACTCTTTATATGAATGATAGTTATTGGTGAGGGTTAAAATGATCCCTTCTGTAGACTATATATGGTCATTCTCTATAACTAACCTATTAATTGTTTAATACTGCCTCACTTTTTTTTCAATCTTTAATTTCTTTATTGATTAAGGTATTACATATGTGACCTCATCCCCCCATAAACCGCCCCCCCCCAACTCATGCTCTCATCCCCCTGTTGTCTAAAACTATGGAACGCTTCACGAATTTGTGTGTCATCCTTGCACAGGGGCCATGCTAATCTTCTCTGTATCATTCCAATTTTAGTATATGTTATACCGAAGCGAGCACAGTGCCTCACTTTTTTTATAATGTTTGATCTAATATCATACATACCAAATTATCAGCTTTCAAATGTATACATTTAAACAGTTAATGCCTGAAAACCTTTATAGCTTATTTCCACAGCTAAAATATGTTCTTGTATATCAAAAGAAAAACTCCTTTAATAAACTAGAGCTAGGATAACCTGAAAATTTTCAAAAACCATTAGAGGTTGTACTCTGAAAGGTGAAAATGTTCTACATTTTGAAGTTCATGTGTGTATGTGGGTGGGGGAATGGGTAGCAAGGAAAATCATGTATTTGCAGGGGGGTTAAGCTTTTGGAGGTGTTAGAATGATGGTAGAATCTCAGACAATGCACAAACTGTCTTCTTTCTGTGTATCACTTTACTACCCTACCAGTGCTAATAAAAACACTCATTAAAGAATTGGGCACTTCCTCATATGTTCACCCCAGTGTAGCTCATGTACACCGTGCATTATAATGCATCATTATCAGACATTCTCAGGCAATAAAATGTAAGCTTCTCAAGTTGGTCTCTCTGGCAATAAAGCAACTAGGTGAAGAGGCTTCGTGCATACAAATAGGCATCCAGACTATCTATGAGGCCCCTGTAGTTATCATAATTTATTTTACGTACCAATTAAATTGAGCCGAGAGTGGTAATCAAAAGCATGAATGCCCTGGGCAATGTTGAAAGATGTCATTTGAAGATGCTTTTTTGGTTTTTCTCTCCAAGCCAGCACCACAGTGTTTGTACTGTTGGTTGTGCTGGAAATGATGGCATCTAAAGAAGCATTGTAAGTAACTGATATTAAAAAAAAAAAAAGGGAAAATAATATTTAATTGATTTTGCACAAGATATGAACAAAATAGAACCATTTTAATATGTATAGTTAAAAATTAAACTCAGATTAGCCCTCCACCGACCTCCCATTAAAGAACTCACAGTGGAAAGTTACAACATGGTCTGCATTTAAACTTTTTACCCAACCTAAGGCTACCTTGAATATTTTAATTGGAAGACATGGCAGGAAAAAATATTAATCACTCTAATTACATGGAATTCTGGGGATTGAAGATGAGTAAGTAATTGCTCAAATCCCTGGGTTCTTCCTCCTGGGTCTGAGGCAGGCAAACAGGAGCTTAACAGCCATCTGCTTCTCTCAGAGTTCCAGTTCATGCCCAAAGCATGGCTTATTTAAGTTGTGCCTGGTCTAGAATGTTTGAGGGTGAGACGGCCAGGGCTCAATTCCCTGCAAAGACTCACAAACACAGCTAGAGACTTGGGTAAAATGGCTATTCCTGCCTTCCTCCTGACCCAGTGCCAGGAAATGTGGAGCAAAAGCCTATTGCCCAAGCAAGGAAAGGGAGGACTCTTTGTTCAGGAGAACCTTTCCATTCTTTCAGACTCGGGCTCCAAAAGCAAAGATCTTTTCCCAACTTCCAACTACGGCTGCCCTCATGACATTCGCTTATACATTTTGCTCAATGATTTGTGCCCAGAGTTGAAGGATTTCTGATTTGACCTCAAAATCAAATTCCTGCCTTAGGACAAAGAAGGATGTTGTAACTTGGCACAGCTTGAAGAATGTTGTTTTAATAGAATGGCCCTTAGAAATAGTCCTGATCTCTATATTATATAAAATCAAGAGTGAGACTGCTGGAAAACAGATCTCAATGCACTGCACTTCTTTTGAAAGTAATCACTGACTCTCTTTGTTCCAGACCATCTTTTTGAAGACATTTGCTTAGGAAAAAACCTTGAAACGTAGATTTGGTGTCTCTCTTTGCAGCAAAATGTACACAAACTAACAACCCAGAATAAGAAAAATAATGTGTTTCTCTGGAATGAAAGGCAGACATGCATCGAGTTCAGTAAAAATGATTCAGCTTCTCTAAGCTTGGGGTGTCTTTCCTGTAACACAGCCCACTGCATGTGCAAGTATTCACCTGGGACCATGCTTTGCTGCTGTGGGACTTGCTAGCAAGGGGAACTGACACAAATATGCTGATGCCAATGTTGCTTGCTATGCTGTAAGTAATAATATCCTTTTGTCTTTAACACAGGAGTCTTATACTCTCTGTCATTTTAAGATTTGTTTTTAATTTTTATTTCTCCAAGTGAGCACCACAGTATTGGTTTTGTATTGTTGGTCATGCTAGACATGGCATATATATATATATATATATATATATATATATATATATATATATATATATTACTAAAGACAAGAAAATTTTGAGAGGCAGGATAACTCAATACATTTCTTTTCCTCTAACCTTCTATTGAGTTAATAACAACTAGAATTTATTCATTTAAGAGCCTATATTACATTATGTGAATAGCTTAATTTAATATACTACATATTTACTCACTATGAAATATATGGCTTAACATGACCAATTTAAAAATAAATTAATGAGATTGAGAGTATTCAATGTGTCTCAAAATATGGCATCCAATCTTCAAAGATTTATTGGCATCCACTATGTGTTCTGTGTTATGACAAAATTAATAAGAGAAGAAGTACACAGTCTGGATGCCCCCAAGTTTGGGATAAAAGATTTAAATCAAAAACTAGAAAAAACTAATAAAGTGATCAATGGAGTGGTACAGAAAGTATAATACAAGTTCAAAAAAGAACAAAGCAGTGTGGGCTTTGGGGTTTAGAAGACATTTGGTGAGTGTTGACAAAAAGATATCATTTCAATTGATGAGAAGTGGTGATAAAGCACATGTATGGGGAGCAAGGTAAACTCCAGAATTTAGAGCAGAAACAGGACTAATCTACTTTATTTTACAGATGAAGCAATAGAGACCCAGGCGCGTTCAATGATTTGGCCAGTCAGCAACTGATGTTTGTCAGACTCTGCACTGGAGCCCAAGTATTCTGACTCTGACTTTGGTGCCGTTTAATGTTACATAACGTTTGGCAGAGCTAAAGTACAAATTCAGAATGCAGAGCATGATCTTCTACCACTGGAGCAGAGCTTCTGAAATTTCAATATGAGTCACCAGGGGATCAGATCGGTATAAAAATGCAGTTTGCCATTCAGTAAACCTAAGATTCTGCATTTCTATCAAACCCCCAGTTGTTACTGCTAATGCTTGCTAAGCACCACACGTTAAGTAGCAAACACCATAATACATTCTACAGAGTATTGACATTATTTTATACTCCAGAGAATTACTTCATAGCTCCTAAAATTTAGACCAAATGTCCCTTTGGAAGTCAGATGAAAGTTATATACCCTCTCCACCAGAAAGATGGATATGCACATAACATTTCGTATGAAACACCAGGATTTTAGGAACCTCTCCACCTTCACTCACAAAGCCCACCATGGTATATCTGAAGAACTCAGGTGATGAGCCTTCAGCTACAAGGTAATTGTGGATTGTTGAAATACTTCACTGGCTTTCTCAAGTGATTCTTAAAATTTCAGTTACTGATGTTCAGCCTCATGTTCACCAATTCTAATGTTGGGCTCCTTTTTTATAGCTTCTACTCCCTTAAATGAGTTTAACTGGCCTTTGATGCTAGGTTCTCCTAATCAATGCCTGAGCACAATCTCTAAGAAAAGAGAAGGACTGAGTGGTACAGAGGAGACTCTCAGAAGGGGAACCAAAGCAGAGCTGCCTCACTGAGCACTAGGCACACAGAATAATTCACCGAAAAGTGTGTCATGAAGCCTGAAGCACCACTAAAGACCAAAATGGTCTACTTCTCCACTCTGCCTGGAATGAGCCTGGATGGTTTATTTCTTGCTCATCTCCCATTATGCAATCTCCCTCAGCCTACAAATTCTTTGTAATAATTATTAGGATAGTTTACTGTATGTCTCCCCTGTACTAGGCATCATGTCAGGTGCTTTCGCCCTGCGATCATCTTCAGCAGATAGATTAGGATGAGGAAATAGACAGTCCAAAGCCAGTTCGCCCAAGGGAAGGCAGCTAATGGGAGGTAGAAATGAGATTGAACCCACTCCTGTTTGGTTGTGGCCTCTCTGTTTTGCATTACTGCATCATTCTTTCCCACGAAGCCACACTGCCACATGCATGAAGATCTGAGGTTGTTTTCATTACCAACTACATTTATGTCCCCCATACTCTCAATCCCAGACCAAGCCCCCACTTTATAGAGTCTTCTCTTTCCTGATCTTGTCATTTACCCCCTAGGAACAGTATTTTTATGTCCTCTTTGTTCTCTCTTTATCCTTTTCTTGCAGCTACTGCAGCGGTTCTCAACCTGTGGGTCGCGACCCCTTTGGGGGTCGAATGGCCCTTTCACAGGGGTCGCCTAAGACCATCGGAAAACACATATATAATTACATATTGTTTTTGTGATTAATAATTATACTTTAATTATGTTCAATTTGTAACAATGAAATTAGGGGTCACCACAGCATGAGGAACAGTATTAAAGGGTCGCAACATTAGGAAGGTTGAGAACCACTGATCTACTGTCTTTCCTTCTAAAAAAAGAAAAGGAAAAATAAGGGGAGCAAAGAGAGGGAGAAAGAAAGTAAAAAGAAGCAAAGAAGGAAGGGAGGAAGCAAAGAAGGAAGGGAAGAAGGGAGGAAGGAAGACGAGGATGCAGAAGCGATCAGTTCCTATTAAGATGCGTCCTTTGAGCCTCACTGGGGAATATTAATTATAGGAGCATAGAGGTCCCTGATCACCTGCTAACACCACTATTGCTACTTTACTAGAAGTACCAACAGTATAAAATCTGATGACAATTGTTCTCATTAGGAAGCAACCTCACTGAAAATATTCCCTTTGTTTAGAAAAAATCCTTAGGGTTATTGTAACTTGGCTCAGTGAAGCAATATTATAAGATCTAAAGTATAAACCAAATACCACTAGTATGTCTTCAAATTCATTGAACTTCCCTAATATCACTATGGTATAATCAAAATAAGTTATTTCTACCCAGAAAATTACTTTGTCACATGTTCCCACAATATATCCAAGTATCATCTTCAGCTTTGAGGATATAAAAAAAAGTACATTCTGCTCAGGTATTCAACGTATAGCTTCAAGATTTGAATCTGCAGGTAACCAAGTGACATTTATGAGCCTGTGTGTAGTGTTATATATTGGAGACTCAACAATTCACACTGTATTTCTAAAGCAAGAGAGAACTTGTTTCTGATTAAATTGTAGAATGCCAGACCTCCTGAGAATGCCTGAGTAAAAGGTGAGAGTAAAGCCATTTTCTTAAAATCAAATTATCTGATAGATAAAAATGTTTTCCTCCTTCTTAAAGATAGAAAAGGAAATGATAGGTTATGATCTTTTTAAAATATCAGGCTAGGGAATGGGGTGAGCTGATTAAAAATAAATTATTTGCTTTTAATATTCTTGGTGAGTTTGGGGATTGATAGAGGAAAAAAATTAATTTCTGCTAAAAAAATAACACAGACTCATAGATACAGAGAACATCTTGATAGTTGCAAGATGGAAGGGGGGTGAGGGGATGGGTGAAAAAGGTGAAGGGTTTAAGAAGTACAAATTGGTTGTTACAGAATAGTCATAGGGATGTAAAGTACAGCATAGGGAATATATATCTATCTAATAATAAGATCATATGCAAATTGGTCGGGATGCCATCATGTAACGACTGAGCAGGCTGCATCCTTGCCCCCTGCACTGGCCCGGAGGCATAAGGCTCGCATCCCGGGGGTCCACAGGTGTGCGGAGAGGCGCCTCCACCACGGGCCCAGCCGGGGGTCCTCAGGCACGCAGAGGTCCACAGGCCTCTGCCGTGACCCAGCTCAGGGGTTCACAGGCCTCCCCTG